TAAAAGTTTAGTGCAGAAGTATCGAATCGGTATCGATATCGACGATACTGCCTTGAAAAATATCGGTATCGTATCGAAAACAAAATAAGGGGTATCGCCCATCCATAAGTGCTGCAGCTTAATTTGCCAAATGTTCCGCCCCCTCGCCCCCTCATTGGAGAATAATCACGTTCAAAAAGAAGGCGCGTGACGCTGTAATCCAAGCGATGATAAAAGTAGACGTAGAGGAGTGGGATGACTTTCTTTTAGCCTAATTTTTAATTTTAATGGTTTTGTAATGTATTAATTATCATGGGTTGTAATAAAAAACAAGTAGTCCAATACTAATACTAAAACTATACAGCCTATACATTTGGTTCGAATAGCCTATATTTTAGTAAGCTAAAATAGTATTACTAAAATTTAGTAATAGCCTATGTGTATAAATATGTTACAGTTCCCCTTTGAAGCTCTTGTGTTTTTCTCCTTTTCCATCTCTCCAATCCTATTCTGCTCACTGGTGATTGGAGATGAGTTTTTTGTTCTCACTTTGTTGCAGTTTGCTGATTTTTGTAAAATAACATATCTGTTTTTGCTTTTCAGATAAAAGAGTGGTTTCAGTTTAATATGTTGCAGGTTCATTTATTGGTAATAAATAATTGATAATAAATAATATTGATGATAATAAATCATCAAAAAATATATTGGGCTTGTTTTGGGCTTGTTTTTTAAGCTGCGGTTGCTTATTTATATTGCGAGAGTTGGCAACAGTGACGGTAAATTTGGCATTGTTCTCTCTTCTGACAGCCGTTATCAGTCTCTCTCAATTGTTTTCCTTTTATTGAAAGTCATGAAAACACTATCGTGGAGTTTTTCTTTTGCTATTTGAGCAACTGGGAATGCAAAAAATATATTTGTGGTGCTCTCCCATTCACTGCTATTCAAGTTTACCCAACTATGACGACTTTAGCTGCTGAGAAACCCGGGTTTACCATGTTTGAGAACATGATAAGAGTCTGAGAACGCTTCCACTGGTTGCACTTTATTGTGATAATCCACTTTAGACATTCTACACAGCAAGAAAGGCACAGCAGAGGGGGTTTATTGAAGAGCCGTCGGTTTCCTGAGAAGTGCTAGTCACGTGTTTATTTACTCGTCAGCTGATGTTAGTACTGTGTTGTTGTCTTTCTTGTATGTCTGCTGAAGGCGCTTTGCAAAACGTGCAGACGATTGTTTCAGGTAAATTATTGATATTTCACTTATACGCTAATATGCCAGTTATTTATCATGGGATTCAGTCATTATGCTGTCAAATGCATCGGTCTAGTGTACGATTACTGTATATAAGTAGTATATTAGTAACGTTAGTCTATATCATTATTATGTCCGAGGTGTCACACTTTGTCCTCATGGTTAGAAACGCAGTTCTTGAGTCAGTCTTTCCGTTTGTTGTTTGATGACTGGTGTGCAGGTATGGAGGAACTTTGTCACTGTTAGGACAGAGAACCGCATGTAATGCCGAGTTCACACTGCATGATTTTCAAACTCGTTGTTTTCACACTGCGTGACTATCTGAGGTAGCATTCAGTTGCTGCTGTGTTCACATTGCACGATGGATCGGCGACGGGGTTTCACACTGCATGACTTCACAATAGGAAGAATCGCCGACAGCTCTGTCTGGTCCGCAAACTACGTTTCACAACAAAACAC